TAAGTATAATATCTTTCCATCTTCAATCCTAAAATCTTGCGCTACAAATATGGGATGATTGTTCCATCTACTTGTAACTTCTTTTAGGCATGATTGTAATTAACTTTTATCTATTAAGTATACACACAATTAAATTTGTATGAATTGTATTGTTGCAATTACTTCAAAATTGTGTAGCATACACAAAAATTTCCCATACTTTCATTCTTGAACAGAAATTAAGCCCCCAAATAAATAAGTCCACATTCATCTTCTTCTCTCAACAAATATCGTCTCCCAAACTTCTGAAAATTTCTCTCGGCATATGTTTGTATACAAGAAATCTAAAAATAAAATAAAAAATCAACATTTTAACTCAACCATTTTTTTTTAACTCAACTTTGACTCAACCCAACTATCATCGATATTATCAATATAATTAAATAATATCAACCAATCATTCATGCACACCACATCAACCTTAAATCAATATTCATCCGCTCACATTATTTTAGCTAACAGTCACATTAAATTTATAATTATTTTAAATATTATTTTAATATACCCACTAATAATTAACCATACTACCTTTTTCAAAATTAACCAAACCGAACCAAGAAATCCAACAAAACCAAAAATTTTCATATCCAAACATTTTTCGGCGAGACAAGAGCATCAACCAAAGAGACTGTGATCACCAATTTCAGAGACACATGAGACCCGAATGCACACGGCTGATACAAGCATCATCGAGAGTTCGAAAGAAGCCCTTGGCCACGGTTGAAGTAGCAAACTGACTCATCGGAGAGCACACAAGAGACCAATGCTAAGAATCCATCCGAGTCACCCAAAGACATGCGCTTTGTTTGTCCCATTTTTGTTGCATTTTTCGTTGTTATTTTGCATTTATTTTTCCCCCGTTCTAGATCTTTTTTCTTTCGTTTTTAGTTCGTTTTGTGTTTTGTTGCGTGTGTTTTTCTCTATTTTAGTTTTTTCTATATTTTTGTTTGTGTTTCTTTGTTTTGTCCGTTTCCCTTTTCATTTTTGGTGTGCAGGTCGGGAGTTTCTATTTTGAAAATTAAATAAACATCAGGGACTTATTTGTAATTTTTAAAGTGTTATTATATTGCACTTTAAGTCATGGATAAATTTACAATTTAAACAAAAGTTTAATTAGTGCACAATAATATGAAATTAAATACACCATATTGTGTGAAAATATGCACATTAAGAAAAACATGTTATGTTATTACAAATTTTTTTCGACTAACATTATTGTGCACTCACATTGCAAGCAATTTATATAATTTGTTCCAAACCAAACTAAAACTGAACCGAAATAATCGCTTTATTTGATTGGTTAACTGAGGTACCCTAAACAATTGAAATAATTTGTTATGTATGTTATAAAAATACATTTAGTATTTTAATAATCACGTGTTTTAGTACTTTTGACTTAAATCTTGAGATTCTTTATAAGTTGAGATTATATGTTACTTGTAGACTTGATTTAAAAGTTGAATCATGTTTGAGATTGAGCCTTCAAAAGCGAGTTCTCATAAGTACTTAAGTGAGAGACTTAGGTTAAGTTTTAACAGTAAAGCAGTTATGCAAGTTAAGAGAAAGAGATTTCACCGCAGTGTATTAGAAGAGTTTATATGTTGTACTTGAAAAATCAATTAATTATGAAACTTGAAGTTTTCCAAACATAAGTAAAATGGTGCTACATTTAGTTCATAAACAAATGCATAATTAGTTGATAAATTTAGTGTATTCAGTTCATATGGATGGCATATTCAATTCATACCAAATTTATATTTAGTTCATATTAAGTGTGCATATTAAGGACAACGTCAACGTCAACGGTTAGGAGTCAACGGTCAGTGGTCAAATGATCAAATTGATATTTAAATAATTAAAATAAACAAAAATAAAAGGTTAAGTTTTAGCCATACATCTTCATACATATCTAATAACTAAAATTAATATCATATACATCTTCATACATATCTAATAACTAAAATTAATATCATATAATCGTTCTCCTTTTAGGGAGATTGTTCTCCTTTTTGGGAAGTTTTGTTCTCTACTTGTTAGAGTTTGGTTCTCCTCTTGTGGGATGTTTGTATTTCCTTTTTACTGTGAGTGAGTTGTGGTATTTATACTCTCTTTAGGATGTCCTCTCATTTTGGCCATTTGGTTGCCGACTTCGACTGTTTTGGTTGTTCTCTGTGTTGTAATTATGTGTGTTATTTATAAAAATCTATTGTTGAGAAAAAAAGTCTCATATAATCATTTTAAATGTGTCCTCGTCGAAACCCATCTCTTTTAAGATAGTTTATAGTTGAAGTTTGTCGAGTATTTTGCATTAAAGGACATTTTGGAAAAAAAAAAAAATTTGCTCTGTGTTATGAACTTGGATATTTTCTGGATTTTTTTGTATATTTTTCTGTATTTATTTTAGAAGAATTTTGAAGATGCAGAAATGAAGAAATTGCAGAAGGGAGGGAGAAATGTAGTGGACACGTGAAAAGGGGGAGGAGAGAATAGAGAGAATATTAAGAGAGAGAATAGAATTTGTGATATATTTCTTCTTGTTCTTCTTTTTTCCCACATTATCCTACTTATAGAATTCCGTTACAAAAGCCCAACAATATTACCTACTAATATAAAAGCTAAAATCCAAGCCCAAACCCATTTCCTATCATAACATAAACTAACACTAGTGTGTATCTCGTGCGATGCACGTATGAGATCTTATTTTAAACCTTTTTTAGACTTTATCTTAAATATAATTGTTTATATTTTTTATATCTCATCTCATTTCAGAATAAAAATAAATAAAAACAATGAAAAATTATATATTATTAAACACTTCTCTTTATGCAATATATTTTATTTAATGAATATTATTGGACCTTTTTATTTTGATTTTTTTAAATCAATTAACTAATATATGATTGTTAATGTACATAAAGTAATGGAACGAATCGAAACTTTAAAGTAGAGCTATTGTTTTTTCTTTAACAAATCAAAACCATACAATATTTCTTTTAAGCAATTTCATATTGCAATTTCAAAAAACTTGCTTTAGGTGGGATGAACGAAAATTTCAATATTGAAAACACGTTATTTAGTTTAAATAAAGATAATTTAGATATTTAAAAAGCTTGATAAATATTGTAATTAGCATGCAATAAACACAAAAGCGGGAAAAAAAAAAAACAATCTCCAAAAATATAACTAGTGAGAACCCTAGAAGTCCAAATCATGTCCCAAACACATGAAAAAAAAAACATGATTTATCCTCGCCCAACTTTTGTGCACTAAGACTATATTTATCCACAACCCAATTCAACCCGACCCATTAATAAAAAAAATATTTCTCTCTCGTCTACATACACAACCCAACTTTTAACAATATACATATCTTTATCATCAACCCAACTCAACTCAACCCAACATAAGACTATATTTATCCACAACCCAACCCAACTCAACCCAATAATAAAAAATTATTTATCTCTCTTCCACCTACACAATCTAACGTTTAACAACCTACATAGCTTTATCCCAAACCCAACCTAACTCAACCCAACATAATATTTATTTTATTTATTTTTATTTATTTATTAAATATTATCTACAATAAATTTTTTGTTATTGTTTTAGTCGTGATATGATAAAATTGATAAGTTAGGATTAAGAAAAAAGAGTGAAAAGAGAGAAATTGCAATTATGTTCCAAATTATATCAAGAGTGGTCTCTATTTATAGAGATGAAAAAAATAATTTTTATTTATTTTTTCATATAAATTAATATCAATAATTTGAGTTACAATTATCTTATTATAAAAAAAATTATAGACCAATAAGAATGAGACACTCGCCCCATTCCACTCACTTCATTTCTCTCCCTCATTGTGGCTAGGTTGCGATCCAGGGTCACAATTTGACCTGGGTCGCGGATTTTGCTATTTTTTTTGTTCTTTATTGTTTTTTAGTTGGTGACCCAATAAAGATAGCATAATATTTATTTTATTTTTATTTATTTATTTAATAAATATTATCTACAATATATTTTTTGGTATTTAATATAACATAATATCAATAATTTGAGTTATACTTATATTTATCATATAAAATTTATAGTGGACCAATTAAAATGGGACAAATCTCACATTCCTATTGTATTGAAGTTAGATAATATAGAATCTTAAAAAAAAAAACTTCATGTGATCTTTTTATATAGATTTTTAAATTTATTTTTTTTTGTTCTTCAAAATTTCAAAAAACATCACAGGCAGGATAATTCAAAATTTTCGAAAAAAGTTACCACAAATAGTATAAAACGAAAAAATGAGCGGGAAAATGACTTACTAATTATGTATTTTTCCTTAGCTCTTTTATATAGTAATAGATAAAAATAGCTAAGAGCACCCACAATGCTTTGAGTCCAATTTTATATATGTGGCATATAATTAGACTTAAGTCCTAATGACATGGATAAACCCAAGTAAAATAAATTCAAAATTTTCTCAATGAAAAACTAAAAGACTAGGTCTAGAATAAATGTCAACCAATTAAAACAAGCATAAAAAAAATTATAAATAATTGTTGAATAGTCAGGTTTGTACTTGAGTCTAAAATAGACTCAAAGGTGGACTTGGTCTCTTTTTGTTATTGTCACATCAATTAAACTATGTCCACTTTTAATTGCATTGGTAGACATTTAATTATAGATTAGGTTTAATTCTTACATGACATATGGTATTTTTGTAAGAGACGCAAAACATTGTAGGTGCGTAAAATATTAACCTACATGACACACTGTTCCTTTTTGTTTTTATTGGGACAGTGGAATCTCCCTTGTCCCGCTGGCACCTCCAATCTTTCTTCTCTCTCTAATAATATAAAGCATCTTAATTTATCAAAATTTATTATGCAGCGTTGTTATCATTTCCAAATATTCCAATTTGCCCCCTTTCATTTATTCCCGTTTTGTTTCATAGTTTCTCCGCAATGCACGATTCAAAGCATATCAAGTCCCACCACCGCCAGCGCCGCCGTGATCCGCCGCTGCACCGCCGCCGCCACTGGTGCTGCTCCTTCACCGTCCCACCCCTCAGCCCCGAGAACCCAGCCGCCCTCTCAAACTCCCACGCTTCTTCCTTATGTAACAAAAAGGCTGAGGCAAATTCATCTCTCTCCTCTCCTCAGATCACCCATCCACACCAGAAGCCCACCCCACTCGCCCGCCGGATTCTCTCTCCCGGTCGGGTTTCCCCAATTTCCGACCAACCCGCGACAACTCAGAGCATCCCCCAAAAGCCAGCTCTTCCCAAATCGCCATTGCCCCCTGCAGCTGTTGACCCGGAAATCATCGCCGCGGAGGAGGACAATTTGGGGGTTTTTGACGTGAGGTTGGCTCTGAAGGGAAAGAGTGGGAGATCCTTGGTTCTGGAGCTCGCCTCGGAAGTTTTGACCGCAAATAGTGTTGTTTTTGCCGATTTGGTCGCTGATTATCGCAAGAGTATCAGCGGTCTGTGCAGGATTGAAGTGCCGGGCGTGGAAAATTTGAGCGTGTTTCGCGAAACGATTGAACTCATGTTCGAGGAGGATATTTCAAAGAAGCTCCTCAAGATTGGAGTGTGTAGGGCAATTGATATACTTGAGGTATTACATTTCCTCAAGAACACGTTAAATAAAGTTCTGCCTTTCTTGGTTTGAATGTTTCTTAGCAGTTGAAATGCTTTTTGGGATGCTCACTTTATTCTGAATCATTTCCTTGTCTTTGGGGGCACTTTGTGTTCGTACTTTGCGTTTCCCATTTAAGCAACAACAACAAGAAGAAGCAACAGGTTGTTAAAATCCCACTACGTGGGGTCGGCTATATGGATCATATGTCGCCATCGTGCTCGTTCAATTTAAGCAGACATGATTTTATTTTTTTTTTTAGTAGTTTTTTTCACTTGTTTGTGGTTTGACATTTGTAAATTTGATTGTGTTATTGTTTCTGAGCGAAAGGCTTTTGCCTGCAAATAAAGTGAATAATGTTTGATATCTGATTGTCCTAAACAAAGTGGATGGGGGTGATTTTGTACACCATATCAATGTATAGGCCATTGTATCAAAACAAACTTCATTTATTTAGTTTCTAGTTGTGTATGTTTCTGAAAGTATGGGTTTGTAATGACCCTTGAAATGGAGTTGACCTTGGTGTGATTCATGACTTCTTTAAGTATTGTAACATTTGTCCGTGCCATCATAATTTTAACTGCATCGGTTATGTTAACATTTGGGGAAAACTAGCTGAAGTGGCACCTCTCCAGCTGCAGGAGTAAATAAAAAACGAAGTTGAATGATATTCCACTTTAATTATTTTGCATATTTGTGAAACATAAGATGTCTGCAGAAGTGGTTCGCTTATCGGAAATTGTAAGAAAGGTGGTTCATGGATTAACTGTTGTATTGAGGTAACAAGTGTTTCAAACTTGGACTTAAGATCAAGAAATCTGCAACCATTTTGAACCTTTTTTGTTTAGTTTTTTCTTGGGTTCTGTTTTTTCAGATGTTCAACTTTTCATTACTTGCCCTAATCGATTAGCAGCCATTTTATACCTGCTACAACAAATATTCACTGAAAAATGCTATAAGGATGCATTATTTCATTGATTGTCTCGATTGTTTAGAATATTTCTTTCATGTGCGTGTTCCTTGCATGCTACATGTTCAAGCTTGTATATCAAAATAAACGTGAACAAAATATTTGTACTTCCAAACTGTGTCCTTTACCTAGTCATATTTCATATTCGAAGTTCATAGTTTTACTTGTGATGGCAGGTCTCGGCAGGGATTAAGTTTGGCAGGGGTGTTGCTTCGTGCCTAAGATACCTCGAGGCAGTACCATGGACCGAGGAAGAAGAGGAGAAGCTGAGGGACTTGTTCAGTAAAATAAACATCGAATGTGCTGAAACCACAGACATCATAGATAGACTCTATGCTAATGTTAGTAAAAATTCCATCGACTCCCAACCAACTCTGACCAAGCAGCTCATTTGGTCCATCACCACATGCACTGATGACAGTACGAAAAACGAACTCAAGTCTCTCGTCAAAGGCCTTTTATGCAAAAGCTCGATCTACGAACAGAACCATTCTGACCTGAACAAGGATGACGTTTTCACCGTCTTCTACTCCTGCCTTGCCTCTCTCACAACTCTGCTCGAGAAAGCCTCCTTTACCGGCACGTGTGAAAAGGAGAAGAAAAAAACAGGAAAAGACGAAAAACCCCTGCTGGAGAGGATCTCGACACAGGTGGACAACCTGAATTGGCTTCTTGAGATCCTGCTGGACCGCCAGCTGGCAGAGGACATTGTGTCCCTTTGGGCCGATCAAGAAAAGCTGCTCGAGTTTCACGGGAATGCGTCCCCAATGGTCCGATACGAAGTCAGCAGGGTCTCGGCCACGATTTTTGTTGCCATGGGCAGTAGAAGATTGCAGTGTCCTGTGGAGATGAGATTAAGGGTTATTCGTAAGTGGTTTGGGCCTATGCTGTGTGATTTTGGGTGGCTGCAGAGGTGCAGAAAGGGGATGGACATGCGGGCCTTGGAGGAGGCCATGGGCCAGGCCCTTCTTACTTTGCCGTTGAAGGAGCAATATGGGCTGTTCATGGAGTGGTTTGGTTGTTTCTCGAGGCAGGGGAATGAGTGCCCCAACCTTAGTAAGGCGTTTCAGATTTGGTGGCGTAGGTCGTTTCTTAGGGGGTCTGAGGCTTTTGTGGTCGACAAAGTGGTGGGTTAATTCTTAATATTGTTTTATGTTTCGAGGTTGTAAGATAAGGAAATATGGTATTAATTTGGGGAAAATGCTAAGGTCCCGTTACAGGACGGTACCGTCAGCGTTTTCTACCATTAGATAAGAAAAATAGATTATGTTGTGTGGATAATTTACGGCAACAAACCGTGACGGAACCATTCCGTCAATGTGACTTTTGCCGTTCCCTTAATTTGGACCTTGAGTAAGACAGATTAACTGTAAAATTTCAAAAATACTTGCAAGTTAATAGTGTAGGTCGAGTTTTGGAAAACTCAACGGGTAGAATTCTTTTTTTTTTTTTTTGG